TATGAACTATGGCTTTCTCTCTTCAATTTAAGAGTAAGAAAAAATGATCCTAACATTTATCAATTAATAGTAACCAACATCCTCTGAAATTCAGTGACATTTGTATTCCAGAACACCCTTTCAAATATTATGAGGCGAATTTATAACATTTGCACCAAATTTACAGTGCAAAACCTGTGTCTTAAGCTTAACCAGGCGTTAAATTTGTTAAAATAGCATTGCAACATCTTATTTTCAGCATAAATATGCCTCTTTTCAATGTAAATTATGCTTATGTGCATGCACTATGTCTTTTCAATCCAATAATAAGACTCATTTAATAGTAACCAACATCCTTTAAAATAATGACATTGCTACCAATTGTACAGACATTTATTTAAAATATTTTTTGTTACTTTAGGGAAATTTGTGTTCTTTGAAATGTATTAATTCTAAACATCTAATAAGCCCATTTTCTGATACTATTCTCATAAAATTAGCTCTAATGTTCTGATGGCATAAATGTTATTTAAAAGCTAATTTTATTTGTACCATAACGTTGACTGATGGATTTTATTAGATTAAACGGTCCACAAAATGCTTAAAATCTACTCTAAATTATGCTAGCCAGTAATGTAACGCTTAAATGTGTTCTTTAAAAAAAACCTTCAACAAATCAGCAAGAGCATCATTGGAAATCTATGTTTAAGGTCCCATTCCTCTGAGAGTGCACAGTAAACATGATTCACCTTTTAATAGCAATATGAAAATGTCATTTACACAAAAGTAGGATTACATTTGTGATCATTTATCTATGTGAAGAATATAAATTAAATACAACATCAGCATTTTCCTGACTGGTGTCCATATATAGCTTTCACTTTTCATTCATTCTGGAAATAATGAATGCATAGAGGTTGCCTTCTCTGTTTGCGATTGTACTGTTTAATAAACAGCTTTAGAAAGGATCTGGAGGGTTATTAAAATCAGCTACGCCCCAAGCAATCTCTATATCTCACTCCATCAGGAAAAAAACTCACAGTTTCTCTTCAACAACAATGAATGAAAACCAAGAGAAAGAGAGAGAAGATTTAAGACTTCACAAAAGGCATGAAGGGCACTTACTCAGAAATTCATATTAAAGTTACTAATGAGATTTACAAAAAGAGGTTTGATTAAAACTTAAGTGGATTAAAGTTATACACGGACATTAAAACTAATTACAAGGTTTATATTCTTCCAAAAAGAATTCCTCCAAAATATCTCTCGGGCACAAACTGTTTGTTGTTCGAATTGGATATGATTTTTTCTTCTCTACTTCTTGTCAGGGCAGTGCAATAAGGGTCTCTACCACCCGCCAGCCAAAAAGCAGACAGAAAAAAAAGCCTACAGACAGAATGAGATGATCCAGGCCCTGTGAATCAGGGCAGAAAGTCTAATACTGAGCACCTTTGTGCCAGAGAATGAACATGACGAAGCGCTCTAACCTTCCTCGACACTTTAGTGGCCTTCAAAGCTGTTAGAATTCTCTACAAAGAAGAAAATAATTTCCAATACATATTAATGATTTGGACTAAAATCCATCCATGTCCTTGAGACTTCAGTGCGACAAATAAAGCCAACAGCTTCACTCCGTAAACACAAGGGCCTTGTCAATAAAACAATCATTACCTGAAACACAATGATACATGTGAGATAGCGAGAGTAATCTGAAATTCACCATCACTCCAAGCATGAATTCATAAGAAGTCTGAGGGTGGCACTTTAAGAGTCTTTAAATACCAAATAAAGGATGTTGTCGCAATAGATCACCATTGAATTACTATTCATCATGATCACAATTCACCCCAGCTGATTTGTTCAAAATGATTACAATGATATACACACACAAACACGCAATTACATTTTATCATATTATTGTGTATTATTATTAAAATCATTTATTTTTATTATATAATATATAAAAAATATTTTATAAATAGTAAATACATGTTTTATTAATAAATAATAAAATGCATAAAATTATATTATAAAATTAAAAAAATGACATTTATTTTATTAATTTATTATATAACAAACATAAATATTAAATTAAGAAACATTTTATATTTAAAACAAACAAATAAATAAATGTTGTATTAATAAATAACAAAATACATACAATTATAAATCTTATTAATTTATTATATAACAAACATAAATATTCATTTAAAAAACATATATAACTTTTTTATATTTAAATCAAATAAATACATACGTAAATAAATAAAATCGTTTAATTTATATTTATCATAATGTGTGTATAAAATATTAATTATAATAAACTATAATTAATGATAATAAATATTTAAAAAAAAACAATAAAATAATTGAAATAAATAAAAAGGAATAAAACAAAAGTCATCTTAATTTTTTTTATAAAAAATGATACATTAATAAATTACAAAATACATAATTTCTTTATTATGATGTGTATAAAATATTCTATACTAAATAAAAGAAACATTTTATATTTAAAATAAATTAATAAATGTATTAATAAATAACAAAATACATACAATTATAAATATATATTATAAGATAAAAATGAAATTATGATTTATTTTATTCATTTATTATATAACAAACATAAATGTTCAATTAAGAAACATTTATAACATTTTATATTTAAATCATATAAATACATACATATATAAATAAATGAATAAATAAAATCGTTTCATTTCTATTTATCATATTGTGTGTGTAAAATATTAATTATAATATACTATAATTAATTATAATAAATATTAATAAAAACAATAAAATAACTGAAATAAAAAGGAATAAAACAAGTCATCTTATTTTTTTTTTAATGATATATAAATAAATGACAAAATACATCATTATGATGTGTATAAAATATTCTATACTAAATTAAAAAATATATTAAGTAATAAATATATAATAAAATAATACCAAAAAAAATGAACAAACACAATTTATATTTATCACACACACAGACACATTTTTTTATACATATAAATATAATAAAGATGTGTTGTTACGCTTAAGAACTTAATACAACATAATTTGATGTCTGTGAGATCCAAACCAGCTTCATGCTGTTATGTGGGTGAGGCAGGGGTGTGAGATTGTAAAAATTTTGGAACATAAAAAAGGTTACAATCCAAGGTTGAGAACCCTGACTCTCATCACTCATCCAACAGAAAACCCAGAACACAACTAACAAGTAGGCGGGAAACGGTGAGGGCGCCCATAAGTTATCAAGCCCCCTTTCTCCAGCCCACTTGACACCTCAACTGCTTTTGCAGCAGATCCTGAGGTCCAGCCCGGCCAGGCTCGATCCTTTTATCAGGCTCTCTGTGTATGGATCGATCAGAGTTACGATGCAGACAGCAGTTCTCTGTTATAACCCTGACGCTGACACTTATGGCCCAACCGATAGCCAATTTACACTCTATGAATTACAAATTTAAACCCGTATTAATAACACATTCAGCCCTTTCTGGGGTCACATGTGTGATGCATACGCATGCACAAACGCACACACACAGACAAACTTATGGTTGCAGATTCTGTATCATTAAATGTACACTACACGCAGCTCATGGGATCTCATTTGCTATGCTGTGATGGTGCTCATGTGGGTGATGCTGCTGACCCATCACTGTTGTTATTTATAGACGCAAGACACGAACTTAAGTGTCAGGGGAGTCAAAGCAGCACTCGTAATTACTGCTGACTACTGCTGCACAGAAAGGGGTTATTACCCTTACCATCCACACCGACAGAGACTTAGGATGAAGATTTCATCATCTTCAGTTTATCAACTCTTCAATTAGCATTACTTCTTTAATGTATTCCTTTTTGTTTGAATCCATTAACATCATTAGTCACATGGTATTTACAGCTCATTTGATTGGCTGTGGGTGTATCACTCTAGTACTCTAAACGTATTTAGTTCAGAGCAAAAAGGACGGCAGAGGAAGAGAGGAGAGAATTTACGGCCTCTGTGCTGCCGAATTGCTCTCCTCTTGACTGGACACTTTAAAAAGAAAATATAAAAGCTCTCCAGGTGCTTATCTCTGCCCGGTGTTCACAGATCCAGCTGTTCACCCTGAGAGAGCACTGACTTCTCTGCTCGACCCCGCACTGCACCCTCAGATTGAAAACCACAAGAGAAGAATGGAAGCAATACTAGTATCAGCCACTAGAGGGCTCTAACAGACACACTGATGTAATAAAACAACATAAAACAAATTAATATTTAATTTAAACAGTGGTTGTTGTAATTTGTTCTAAGAGTCATGGCATGGGTAGCAGGAAAAAAGAACAATGGTAAATGCAAATAATAAAATGCAAAGATATATAGTTTGGGGTCAGTAAGATTTTATGTTTTTGACATAATAAGGCTATATTTATTTAATAAAAAATACAGTAAAACCTGTAATATTTTGAAATATTATTACAATTTAAAATACACAATTTCTATTGTAATAGATTTTGAAATGTAGTTTATTTTTCGTGGTGGCAGAGCTGAATTTTTTGCAGCGATTCCTTCAGTCTTCAATCAGTGTCACATGATCCTTCAGAAATCATTCTTACATGCTGATTTGGTGCTTTAGAAACATTTCTTATTATAGAAGCTGTGATACTTTTTTTCAGGATTCTTTGAATGAATAATAGTTATTAAAAAGTTATTTTGTGACATTATAAATGTCTTACTGTCACTTTTTGATCCATTTTAATGTATCATTATTGAATTACTTTCTTTAAAAAAAAATCTTACTGTCTTCAAACTTTTAAATGATAGTGTAATTGTGCATTTATGATAGTAAATTAAATGAAAGGTGAAGAAAAAAACAGCAAAATATACAGAAAGAATACCCTTTTATAAAGTTGATAAGCCTATTAACAATACATTAACAATCATGTTGAGAATATGCAGTCATGATCATTTAAATACATTTCAATATTAGACATTTGTGACTTTTGTACACTAAAACATTTTCAATACCATGCTGGGTTGCCACTTGGTGTCAAATATCAAAACTTGGTCCTGAAACCAAACCAGAGAATCATTACTGGACTAAAAGTCCAAATATCCAAATATAATAATAAAAAAAAAAAACTTAAAAAGATTCTATTTCCCAATTAAATCGCTGATTCATACACTTCTGTGCATGTGTAATACATGTTGTTGATAAACAGCAGCTGAAAACTCTTTCAAACTTGTTCCGAGTGCTGCTGGTTTTTCAGCATTGTGAGCTCTAAATGACAAAGAAGCCCTGCACTGCAGCAAGCACAATAACGGGCAAACACTCGCAGCACAGCAGAGCAGATGGACCCAGGGATTCAGTGAGCACCGCGGGGAATTACAGATGGCCCTTCAAATTAAATCAAATAGTACAGCTCAGGATCGGGCTTACGACCGCCTACGGGAGAGGTGTATATGACTGGAGCCGGAGCCAGCGGGTGTGGAGAGGGAGAAAATCACCTCCAAATGAGTTTCTGAAATATCTATAGATAAATTGAATTTGAAAATCTTGACAGTGAGTGATCTGAGGCTGGATGAGGAGCAAGTCAAAGGTGGCACTCATTCTTTCACTGCTTCTCATAAACACACACAGAGAGAGAGAGAGAGAGAGAGAGAGAGAGAGAGAGA